TCATCGTCTGCAGTGGATAATGCGTGGTGGAAGGAACACTGCTTTTGTTCTAGCTTTGGTTGCAAGTCTCCTACTTTCTCTTGGCCTCAATGTCAACATCTGCAAACTGGACATATGTACCCCAGACTGGCTTGCCTCATAGGAGTCACATGAAGACCTATGGGTCAAAAGTTTACTTTACATGAAAGCCACAGGATGGTGGGGTGGGGACGTGTGGGGCGACAGGGGAGTCTTAGAAGACTCCCCTGCTGTTGGGAGGCTCAGGTAGATGCAAAATGCTAGTGGAATCTCAATGACACATTTTCTCCAGTGGAGCCAGTCAAATACCTGAGCCCCCACCCAGAGAGGCTTTGATCTCAGTTTAGGAAATACTGTAAATTAGTGTTTGGTTTTTTTTCCAGTTAGAATAATGGGGGACTCACACTCTTGCCTAAAGACCACCTGGTTTTGGGCTGAAGGAGAGAGAGCTGTGTAGCTCAGAGAACAAAGTACCAACATTTTGACTAAAGACAGAATCACTCTTACTAATTTTTCCTTTTTCCTTCATCTCCAGTCTGACTTGGCAAGGCACTGTATTTAATATTTTGGTATTTTTTTCCATCATGGTCATGGGGCTAAGAACAGGCCGCCCCAAGGTGTGCCTGTCTGGTACATAGATTATTTTGAGCTTAAAATGTAACCAGGGTAAACATCAGATAGATTCACTAAACTTGTAACCTGCCTTTACTAACCAAGCTCGCTGTAATTGTTTGTTTGTTTGTTTGTTTTATGCCTTCCAAGTGTCATGTAGCCAAAACAGTGTGATGTTTGCCCAAGATGTTTTTTCTGGAACTTGAGAGTCAGTTGTGTTTAGTTGGAGCTTGAGCCAGTTGAGACTGGTTATGACCATGACCCTCCAACTGGGCATACGTGAGTGTCTTTTTGGTGACCTTTTGATGTCAGAGGGTCCAAAACTCCACCCTGAGAACATGCTAACGCAGCCATCTTCTGAATGAGTCTCATGAGGAAGCCCATAGCTTAGTTGTGCTTGTGCAGAACAATGACTATCTCACCTTTTCTTATTTCCATTCACCCTTCCCCATGCTCCCCACGCCTCAGACCACCCTGCTTCCTTATCCCGCAAATACCCTGAGCCCCTTGCCTTTGAGATGGTGGATTTGAGATTTGTTCTCCCATCTCCTTGCTCAGCAATCTTGTTTTTGTTTCTTTTTTTTTGATCTTTTTTTAAAATTGAAGTACAGCCAGTTTACAATGTTGTGTCAATTTCTAGTGTACAGCATAATAGTTCAGTCATACATACACATACATTTATTTGTTTTCATATTCTTTTTCATTACAGGTTACTACAAGATATTGTATATAGTTCCCTGTGCTATACAGATGAAATCTGTTGTTTACTCGGCAGTCTTTGAATAAACCTTTTCTCTGCTTCAAACTTCAGCATCTCAGGAAGAATCTTTGGACTTCTTCCTTAATGCCTAAAAGATTTTAAGATAGAAGTCCTGTTAGGGAAGAAGCTATCACCAGCGATAACTATATTAAGTATCAGTGTTAGGCAGTTAGATAGAAATGAGCTCTGGGTAAGGGGAGAGGAAAAGGGAGGGAACAATCCAGAAGATAGCAGTACACCTGCTCTCAGGATAAGGGGCTTCAAAGAGTTTTGCTTTTTCTAAATGAGAGCCAGCAACAAAAAAAGCCTGTCAGAATGAACACCGCAGCTGCACGGTAGAGAGAAGGACCCAACTCAACATAGCTCAATGCTCCTTATAACGTAATTAGCGTTGCGGTTTGGGCCCCCTCCCCTGGGCTTTTCTGTGTGCATCACGGGTAAGAGCACGCACAAAGGAGATGGGCGTGCCTAAGCACTCAAGGGACCTGAGCCGTCAATCCGTTACGAGAATGCCCCTAAGCCAGGATGTAAGACAGGAGAAACCAAGGAGGAGTCGCCACTGTCCTCTCTTGGGTTGGCCCACCTTCAGTTCTTGAAGGTGGACTCTACTAACTTGCGCTCTACTAATGAAACTCTCTGTTTACACAATGCTTTCACTTTGAATGCTTTTCTCTCTGATAAGATGAAGAACTGAGGCCTTTTCCCCCTCCTCAGGGTAGCAGTAGTAGCGGTAGACAGGGAGGAATGTAGCAGAGCCTGTCTGATCAAAGTTCTCTCTGTGACCATTATCTCTGGATGGCCCAGCAAACATTGTTTACCAAACATTAACTCTATTTATCTTCCTGTGAATTATCTTACTTGCCCTTAAAGCCTCAGACCCCTACGTCCTTTTTAGTCCAGTATATATATATATATATGTATATATATATATATACATATATATATATATATATATAAATTTTTTTTTTCCATTCACATTGCAGTATTTTCGTTCACAGTCTTTAGCTGGAGATGGTGACAGAAGAGACCATTTCCAGGGGGTTTATTCAGTTTTCCTGGGTATCTCGCACACATACAGGAAGTATTGTTATTAAACTTCCGTTTGTTTTTCTTCTGTTAATCTTTTTATGACGAGGGTCTCAGCCAAGAAACTAGAAGGGTAGAGGGAAATTATTTTTTCTCCCCTACATCTGCACGGCTCCCCATAGAGGCCAGCTGGGCCCTCCTCCAAGTTCCTCAGAGCTAGGAGACTTCCTTCTACTTACACATCATGTTCCCTCTCAAATCAGTCTCAGACTGTTCTCTTGGTCCCCTCCTGCTTAGTTTTGTTCTTGAAGGTGTGAACAAAAAATACTGCAAACCATATCAGTAAACAAAAACTGTGAAGCCATCAAGTCATCAGCTGCTGCGCCGCCCCCCGCGCCCCCCTCCCCCGAGTGAAGACAAGCCTGCAGCCCAGCCTCTAAAGCCACTCACAGTGGTGCTCTCTGAGGGGACTCAGAATAAGAAAGGACAGGATACTGGCCCTAGATAGCTAGGTGCTTGTCAAAGGAATGAATTCAATGAGCCCAAATATTTGCTCCTTCCTTTACATAGAAAAGCCCTAAATTCTTTAACTTGAGATGCCTGGTTTTCTTTAGATAACAAGTAATCTTTTATTGTTCCAACAACCTGCTCTTTGTTGTAAAGCTCCTACATATCTTAGCTCCTCCCCTGCCTCTTTTGAGCAGCCCCTCAGAGCGATCTGAGAGGCTGTCATCCAGGCTCGAGTCTTCCTGCCAAATAACTCTCAACTTTTAGGCTGAGCATTTGTTTCAGTCAATAAAGACTTCTTATCTCTTATATTGGCCACCTTATATTTGAAGTCTTTTTTTCCCCCCAGGTATTTCCTCTCTCCCTTTCTCTCTCTCTTCCTGTCTCAGCTTAAAACAGTACTTTTTATTTCTCACTATTCTGTGGACTGGCTAGGTGGTTCTCCTGCTTCATGTGGTGTTGGCTGAGGTGCCGAGAATGATGGAATGTCCAAGATGGCCTTGCTCTCGTGGCTCACAGCTGGTGTGGCTGCTGGCTGTAAGCTCAGCGGGGCTGTCAGCCGGGGGGGGTGGGGGGCCTGCTCATCTCCCTCGTGGGCCTTACCACACAGAGCAGATACTTTTTCCTTTTCACACATTTTAGCACACATTTCTTCCCCTAATTTCTGATCATTCATATATTGGGACCCGCACAACGGAGACTGCCCCAGTGGCCTGGCCCACATCAAAAACCTAAACTTCATGGAGGAGGGAATATAGCTCAGGGGTAGAGTGAGTGCCTAGCATGCATGAGGTCCTGGGTTCAATTCCCAGTACCTCCATTAATTTAAATAAATAATTAAGTAAACTGAATTACCTCCTCCAGCGAAAAATAAAACACAACAAAAATACTAAACCTCAGTCAGTCTACACTTGTGGGAAATACCTGTCAAGGAACCTAATATCCACCAGTCACAGTCCTCCTACTCAGCATTAGCTAATTCACCTTACCCTAAAAAACAGAGCCTGCCAGCTTGATAAGGAAATAGGAAATTCCCAACCTCCCAGCCAATCGTGTCCTCCTTCTCTTTTTTGTGGGGGGAATAATTAGGTTTGTTTTTACTTATTTACTTTTTAACCCAGGACCTCATGCATGCTGAGCATGAGCTCTGCCACTGAGCTATATCCTCCCCCAGCCATGTCCTATTTCTGAGTTGCCTCTTTTTTTGGTGGGGAAGGTAATTAGGTTTATTTAGGTAGTTATTTTAGTGGGAATACTGGGATTTGAACCCAGGACCTCATGCATGTTAAGCATGTACTCTAACCACTGAGCTATACCCTTCCCCCCTGAGTTGCCTCTTCTGAAGCACTCTTGCCCCAAATCCCTCAGGAATAGTTCTTCACTGCCTGTGAGGCTCTGTGCTCTACTAGTCTACGGATCATTTTCCCTTGAGTAAAGAGATTCTTTGCACCCTCAGACCTGGGACCTCAGGTCCCTTCCCAACGTTTGCATTCAAGGTCTGTGTCCAGGAACACATGAAAAGCAACCCTCTCCCTCCATGTGCTTTTCACTTCATTAAAAGATTGAGCTTTATAGGGGCAGAGGTCACGTCTGTCATTTGCTAGATTGACCTTGCAGGGGTTCCAAATAAATATTGGTTGAATGAATTAAGCAACTTTAAAGGTTTGCAAGTGACCACCCCTGACTCTGTCTCCTCTAATATATGGGAAATATGTCTTCAGGTGCAGTTCCTCCATTGAGATTGTTACGGAAACGACAGGCCAGCCAATAAACAAGCACCACTCGGAGGGTTGGAGTACTGAGATGTAATACACTGGCGGGCTCAGAGGGGCTTCTGCTCCGAAGCTCTGAGCACCTCCAAGACATGCGCATGAGGTTTTATAGGGTAAAGTACAAGCTTGGGGTATTCGGCCAATAGGCATGGAACAGCTTTAGCAGCAGCATTATCACAAAAGTGGAGTCAGGGAGGCAGCAAACCAACATTCCTAAGCCAGATATATCTCTTTGAAAATCCAGCTGGCTAGCAAAAAAAAAAAAACAATGAACAGCAAACCAGCACTAATTAACTTAGATTTATGAGTTAGTCCAGCAGAACTCAGATCAGTATTCCAATACTTAGATTTGTGAGTTATCTTGTTAGCCCAGCCCAACTTTTCTTTCACATTCTTAGACTTGTGCATTATCTTGTTAGCCCAGCCAGACTTTTCCTTCACAAGATGAGCTCCTGTACAGCCCTAAGGCCTGGGCTTCTCACTTGCAGCACAAAGTGTAAATGAAGCGAGGGCCAGGCACACTTCTACCTTTCCAGTCAGCCAAACCCAGTCTTCTACCTGGCTTCTCTGTCCTTGTGCACTTTGTCTCTCAAGTCCTGTGGATCCACAACTGACCCCCTGGGTGTCAGGACTCTGTGGTCAGGCCTGCTGCCACTGCCTATGGAAGCAGTTCATGGAAGACCAATTTCAGGAAGGCAAAGAGCATGTCTGACCCAAATCACTGTGAGCTCCGCACAGTGCCAGGCACATAGCTGATGAGTCAGTAAATAAATCCATTTCTCATTGCTGTCTTCTGCTTCTGGCAATGTCAGCCGCTCTGGAGTTCTTGCCCTCTTGGCAACCAGACCCTTGGATATTCCTCATCTCCGAGCCCTGGCGTGGGAGCTGTCATTCATGTATATGAAATTGAGTTTGCATTTCAACAGAGCCGCTTCTGAGCTCCTGGCTTGGGGTTGGCTGATGGATTCACAACCACATTTCCAGGGAGGGACCCAGGGTTTGAGGCAGTGAGTAGGATTAGGAACTCAAATCCTAAATCCTGAAGGAGCATAAAAGATAGCTTACTCTGGAAGGATGTCAGCCTTCTTCATTCTTCTTTGATGAATCTGGTCAAGTCAGTGACTTTTTCTGAGCATCCTTTTTGGGGCAAGACATGAGGGAGCACATGGCTGTTTAGATGACATTCTCATAAGTAAATAGCTTCGGTGTATCTGGTGACTTTGGTAGTGAGTAAGGTTTCTCCATCTGTCAGGCAGACATAAGGATGCGGAATGCTGGAGGTGGAGCAGGGCTCTGTATCCCCCAACTCAGGAGACCCCACCATCTCAGACATTCTTTATTGCAAAGGGTACCAACCCAAACCTCTTGCTGTGCTTGCTCCCTCTGTTTAATCACTTCAACTTTAGGAAAACTATTCCTTAAAGCTAACCTACATTTACCGTGTTGAATGCTTAATGAACAGAACTTTCCTCTCAATAATCTGTCCAAACCAACTAAGCAAACTGCTCTACCCATCCTAATTTTTCTGATCTGTTTGGGAGAGGAGACAGGAGGTATCCCTGCTTCTGCCAAGCATGATCTGTGAAGGAATAAGCTTTAAAATCTCAATATATAAGTAGTTTGACTGGGGAACGGTAGAAACCAGATGTAGCATAGCTAGACCACGGGAAAAAAGAGGAACACTCTCTTGCCTTTAGTTTATTGGTGGCCCCAGCCACCCCTCCCCTCCCGGGAACAGCCTGAGCCATGGCCTTTCTCCCCACCCATGCCCTTAGTTAGGATCTTGCTGACTTTCCCTATCATTCCTACCTGGAACCTCTCACCTACTCCATTTGTTCCACATCACCCTTATTCAACTCCTAAAACATGTTTTCTTATAGTCACCATATACTTGTGTAACCCTAAGCAAAGGGAATGGGACATCCTGGAGTACCTTTTAGTATCAGGGAATATGAGATCACTGGGGCCCAAGAAATTCTAAGCTAAGCTTAGAACCAGGGAAAAGGATGGAACAACTGAAATGAAGTTCAGCTCTAAAGCTTCTTACATTTGTGGATATTTGCACAGTGGAATAAATTGAATTTACTGGATTTTCCTCTGGAATAGTATTCTATTAAAAAACAAAAAACAAACAAAAGAAGTAATTACCTACTCCATGGGTTACATAGACAAGGCCGAAAAGACACCCAGAATCCAGAAAAGGGAAAGTGGAGGTGGGAGGAGGTGGTAAGAGGGAGGAGGGGGTTCTGGAGCTGGAATGGGTGGTAGGAAGTGCTGTTTTCACTGATTACTGTTATAATTATTGATGACTTTTTTCCAAGAAGCATTATTTTTAAGCTGTGCTGTTTATATTACTTAATAAATATATAAGATATACAAGCCCCATGAGTTATGAGCCTCCTAAGTTGATGAAAAGATAATTTGAAGTAATATTGCTAATGCTGCACATAAACTTTTCCAACAGTCAAAAAAGCTGGTGGAGCAAATCAGAAAGGATGACTAAAGGGACAAGACAGAATAAACCAACAGCGATGGCAATAACAAAAGCTCCTTCCAGGCTAGAGAAAAACATCCTGGGTTGGTGAAGTTTATTCCTGAACATTCGGGACAGTCCTGTGCTCTCTAGGGGATGGATCTTGCACAAGGGAAGAGGATGGCGATAAAGTGACCAATTTCGACAGAAGTCAGGCTGAGTGGAACACAGAGTTGTCTCCCCTGTGAGGAAGGAAGGAGTTCCCAGGACACCAACTTCGAAGAGGAAGCGCAATGTTTCCTCTTGGAAAAGTGTGGATAAGTGTAGGAAGATGCATCCTGATCGGGAGACACTGAAGGCTGGGGTAAAATTAAGATTTTTGAGGCTTGAAAGTGTTTTTATATCTTCATTAAACTGGCCAACGTGGAAAAGGTCACTGTGACTCCCAAGGGGCGAGTCTAGCCAGGGTGAGTCTAGCCTGAGCTATAATTATTGTTCCCGGGCGAACTTTTGAAGTTGTCTACCTAGTTCATATCTCCAAATTGTCTCTTGTTATTTGGATTTCTTTAACCTTATTCTTATGATTTTCTTTTCAAAGAGTTTTCTTTGAATTAACCTTGTGTGCATTCATTTCAGCCTGATGACCCGCACTTGGGAAGCCTTGCTTGTGGGTCCAGAGCCACCATGGGTCCTCTGAGCCTGCTCCTGATCGTTCCTTGAATTATCACAGAGGAAAAGATATCTCTAAAGCCAGTCTTCTGACATCATAACTCAAACAGCACATCAAAGTCACACTTCTCTATCTGCTATCCTATGCAAAAGGAAATTAATCTGTTGAGTTGCCTTTGTGAACTGTGGAAGGGAAAGAAGTGATTACACAGATCACACTGTGAGCATTCCTGGCTGGGTCAGAACCAGGTGCTCTGGAGGCCACCAACTCCCGCACACGAAAGAATCTATAAAGACTTGGGGGCAGCACAGGGGCAGTGGGTTTCAAGGGTTATGCATTTTTATTCCCCATGTTGTTCAAATCCATGGAAACATCTCAAGCTAAACAAAGAGGGCCTCAGAGAGGAGGATCAGGCTCCAGGAAAGATGGGAAAGAACTCACATTAAGATCAGGGATTGTGTCATACTCCAAGGTCTCTCCAGAAGGTGAGTAGTAGTTAAGAATTTCCAGACGAGGGTCTATTTCCCTTTCTCTTCAATGAACTCTGAAACCAAGTTGGGAGAGAATCACACCTGGCCCCTCCTTCCACTCACCACCCCAACTGGCCCACCATCCCATGACTCACTTAGGGTGACCGACTATCTTGATTTCCCTGTAACTAAAAGGTTTTGGGACATGGGACTTTCAGTGCTAAACCCAAGAAAAACCCCAGATGAACTGTTCACCCTCATCACTTCACTTCCTAATTTTTGAACCAAGGCAGTCAAAAGAGGACACAGGGGAGGTCAGAAATACTTTTGTAGTGTTTCCAAGAGGGAGGGAATATCTCAAAGTTTGCATTTCATACCCACCCAAAAGTTTAGGTCCCTTTCCAACACCCTGCATGGACAGTACCAGGGGGAACCTGAGAATACAAATCAGTGAGGTTTAGGCACAGAGAGCATGGAGTACAGCATGGAGAGAGGCAGAGAAAGGCTTCTCCAGGAGGAATCTTTCTAGACTGAGGTAGGGAGTAAAAAGGAGTCTCTGGAGTTGATCCAATGGAGAGAACTGGGGTTGGTTGGGGGCTCTGACAGGGATGGACAGATTGGAGGGTGCTGGTCTAGGGGACCTCAGAATTGGAAGCCATGGCCTTCCAGGTCAGGGAAACAGAGTCAACAGTCTGCGGCCTATGGCAGCAGGAGGGCTACACCAGTAAGTCCCTCTGGGGGAAGGAGAAGGGTAGGCACTGGAAAGGGAACTGGGACCATGGCCTCAAGAGAGAAGTTAAGGGCTCAAGTATTCCCTTCACTCCAGAACTAAGCAGTCCTGTAGGACAGACACTATGGCTTCTTCACTTCTGTATCCTTAGTGCCTAGCACCAAGCATGGCACAAAGTCCAATGTAGGCTTGTTGAATGAATGAGGGAGAAAATACATGAATGAAGATGAAGACAAAAATAGTACATGCTCTACCTTTTCTTTCTCTTCGTAAGATCAAAATAATCAGCATCAGTGCAAGGAAACAGAGCGGGATGAAAAACAACAGGAGGCTGAAGATCACAGAGGAAGCCAGGCCACCAGCAGCACCTTTAAAGAGAGAATGGGTGGAGGTACAGGGAAGGGAGGAGAGTCAGCCATGGAAAATGACCCAAGTTTTAGAGTAACTGCACCCTTCCTCCCAGTGTGGCGACTTGACAGGGGCTTCCAATTTTCACAAAGGTCTTGTTCCTAAGGGGACCAGGAGCTGAAGAAGATATAGGCCCTGAGACCAGAGGTTCCTGGAGAGGGAGGGGAGACAGTCACCTTCACAGAGCTTCCACACAAAGATAGGGGTTGAAGAGTTGCTGCTGATCGGGTTCCTGGCCATGCAGATGAAGGTCATGTCCCTTTTCTCCCCCCTCCAGGATATGGGAAGGACGGAGCCACTGTGGGACTCATTGGTTGTCTGCCCCAGGGACTTCCAGCTGTAAGTTACATCTTCTCCTCCCTGTTCCATGGAGCATGTCAGATTGGTTATACAGGTGCCATTTGTACTGTTCTGCAGATCTATGGTGACTTTTGGCTTTGACAGTTGCTCTGTAAAAGAGAAACGGACAACCAAGTGTAGGAACTAGGCCATATCCCTCCCTTTACTGAATTATTCTTGTAAATCTTGGACCTGAATCCCCCTGGTGTGCTACAGAGTGGAGAGGAGGCAGCAGTTCAGAGCAGAATGATCATTCTTCTCTGAAAGACCTAGAAGAGAACTATCTAGGTCTGCTTGACCACAGTTATAAAACAGCAACAATAATAGTAGTAGAAAGAATTACAATGCAACAAGAATAAGCCGCCATTTACTAAGCACAGGCATATGGCAAGCACTGTGTTAAATGCATTTTAGATGTTACCTGGGTTTATCTTTTTTGGAGGCTTCCTAGTCCCCTGTCCTCAGGCTTCCTTGAAGAGCCTCACTTTACTCTCCTGGAGAGAACAGTGTTGGAGCAACACTTCTGGTCTCCCTCTCTACTGTGCTCACTCCTTTCTCTCAGAGGTTCAGCAATGGTTTCATTGTTGAGATGGTGAGAGTCTGCCATTTATCACCTACATTTCTCTATTTGTGAGTTTGAGCTGTCAAGATTGCTGTAAAAATGTGGTTTACCCTTTATTTCCCCTACCCTCAGCCAGAGAATGCATGTCTTCCGTTCTTTTCAGCTATGTTTATATGGAAGACACTCCTGGATCAAGATAACATGGCCTGCCTCCTGCAGGCAAACCTGCAGGCTCATTTCCTGGCATCCCTGATATCTCCTGGTGTCTGCAGCTCAGGGAGTGAGACACTGTTGTAGCTGGGCAATTGTTTCATAAGTTCATTGTCTCTGCATAGGCTCCAAGGTCTAGACTTGGGGGATAGCATTTCTTTTATCTAGCTTTACCAGAAAAGATAAAGCTGATGACTTTATCTTCCCTCTGATTCTTGTGTCTGTTTCTCAGTTAGTTAAATTCTGTAGGGGGAAAGGTGTGATTGATGTTTATGCCTGATAATCTTTCTAAGATAAGTATCACTTTCCTCCCATCGCATATATGGAAACTAAATTTCAAAGAGAATAAGTAACTTGGCTACGGTGGTGCAGCTAGTAAGTAGAGAAGTCAACATTTGACTTGTGTGATTGCCACTTCCCATAACACCCATCTGCTGCACCACAGTCCCTCTCACAGAACCTCTGAGTAAGAGGGGCCTGAGGGATCAGTGGCATCTACTTCTTCCGTGTAGGAGTTCCCTCTTCCACATTCTTACCAAGTGTTTATGCAGCCTTTGTTTGAACAGCTCCAATATCAGGGAGGTCATCACTTTACGAAGGCAATCGTCCACTTTTGCAACTGACTTTGCTTACCATAGACACGTAACTCATAGTCCTGGATGAGGGGACTCTGGATGGATGAGCTGTGTATCTCTGCACGGTAGGCACCTGAGTCATTCTTCTTCAGTTTGCTGAGCTTCAGGGAGTAGTTTTCATTTGGAAAATTCACCCTTTCCTTGTTACGTTGTTGGGTGACTATGATAATGGCTTTTTTGTCTGCCGTTTTTGGTTCAACGGTGACGAGAGTGGTTGTGTTGAAGATCCAGACAATACTGTCAATCGAACCTACTGAGAAATTCAGAGGGAAAGTCACAGACCCTCCAAGGGCACCAACCAGCTTCTTCATGGCTCCAGAGGCTGCTGGCCCTGCAGACATGGAGAACCATAAAATCAGCCTGAGTCCTTGCCACCTTATTCTGTGCCAAACATTTATTGTAAAGATTATGCCTGACACTTAAAGCAATCCTGAAATTTAGGAACTTTGATCTTTTTACACAGGGATCAGCAACTTACAACCCATGGGTCAAACTTAGCCTGCCACCTGTTTCTGAAAATGAAGTTTTGTTGGAACACAGCCATGTTTTCCTCTACATGTTGTTGATGGCTGCTATTCCACTACAAAAGTTGAGCTGAGTAGTTGTGACATAGATCACATTGCCTTCAAAGCCTAAAATATTTAGTATCTGGCTCTTGACAGTAAGAGTTTGTTAACTTATGATTTGAAGAAAAAACTGAGATTCAAAAAAACCTAAGTCACTTATCCAAGGGCACAAAGTAGGTGATGATTTGAGGATTTAACCCAATGTCATTCCAGCTCTGGAGCCTGGACTCTTTCTACTATGGCCTAATTTGAAGGTCCCCTGGCATTTGTACCAGCTCCAGCCCTCTCCCTAACTCCCCTCCCTCAGTTCTCTCAAGGGCTCAGGTGTCAACCCTGAAGTCCTGGGGCCTCATGGAATCCCGATTTCCCATTCATGTCCTTTGGTGACCTTCCCTCAAGAATGAGTTGCTCAACCAGTGCCCCAGAGTGAGAGAATCTGACAGTACCAAATGTTGACCTAGTCCCTTGATTACTGGTCTAGGATCTTGACTTGACAACATTCTTTTGATAAATTTATCTCTAAAAGCACTGGTTTCTCTCCCTGTGTGAATGCCTTTAAGAGCTGAATCCAGTTTTCGAACATTTTTCCCCCTGTAATTTATCAGGCAGTGCATATATACTTTGGATCACTCAAGCCTTTATTGAATCATCTTGTTAAGTAAGCTGATTTTTCAAAATGCTGCCCTCCCTGCTTCTCTAATACTAAGGCAGATGGCTTTTTGTTGCTCTTTGTTCATCCCATAGAGTGTCAAAATAGTCCCAGTAAATATTACCAACAAAATCAATCTTATTTTGAATTTATGATTGATCAATTAATGTATTCATCCTTTTACTACAATGATAAGATGGAAAGGGTGAATATTTTGCAGTCAAATCAAGATTAGATATCACTTTCCCCCAAGCTGAGTGCAATTCTTGGATTTAGGGCACCTTTGAGTAATTTCATTTTCACATGAGGTTTTGGAGAGATGTTTAAGTCGAGGAGGTGAAAAACTACAAGGATGTGCCTTTAGAGTTTGTAGCATGTGTGCATGCATTTAAGCCGTGAGTAATTAATTGTTCTTCTCACACCTTTGCATATGTGGTGCTATCTTCTCAGGGTAAATTTCAAGAAGTGAGAATTGTTTGGAGATGTAAGACAATGTCTCCAAATTCATTGTTCCGTGTTAGAATATTATTGGAGGATGACACTGTAAATTGCTGACATGAACCTAGATAGAGGATATTGTTCTATCTTAATTGTTTCTTCAGGGTGAGGAGAAGGGTCATGAAAGAAGAAAGCATATCCGTGCCATCCCCTAAATGTGAACTCTGAGGATAGGGGGCTGGGCTGATGGGTCCTAACCAATTTTGTTTTCTCTTCTCAGTTGATTGTGACAAGGGATCCAGAAACAAGAGACTTCTCTCAGCTGCTAAGACTGAACTGAAGCTCCCCTTTCTCTGATGGCTTCTCCACCTGCTGTGTGTGGCCCTGTAGAGTTTTAGCATGTCCAGGTAGGTCATGCTTTTCTCATTCAGTCATTCCTTCCTTTAACATGAATTTGTTTAGTTCCATTGTTGTTCCAGGCACTGTTAAGGAGCTGAGGATATAACTGGGGAGCGAAAGAGTCATGATCCTTGCATTTATGGAGCTGGGAGTCATTCAGTAAGTAACAACAGGTGTTATGAAAGGGGAAGGGACAGATACTTAGGGAACACACAATGAGGAACATAACATGGTCTGTGTGGTCAGAAGACTCTAGAGGATGGCTGGCTACTAGCACCTGTGTACAAGACTTGGGAGGATGGGGCCCCATGAGACTCATGTACTTCCCACCTGGATCAGTGCGGTGAGTGTTACAACTTGCCTCCTCTGCATCCATTTCACTCATTCCTCATTTTGTAGCAGCCAAGTGGGTAGGACAGACAGGCATCCAGCTCCAGTGGTAACCTTCCCATGGCATAGTAATCAGTTCAGGGGTACCACACCTCCCGGGTGGATTGTATCTGAGAGAAGTCCAGGGCTTTTGCTCCGAGGCCAGGATGACCACATGATGATGTGAGGAGATATGAAGTCTTGGACTGCCACCCATTTACTACCGACCTGCAGCCAGGCCTCCTCCCTCGGCTGATTCCCAGTTTGCCTTCTACCTTATGTTTTTGTTTGTGCTTGATCCTTCTCTTTGTCCATCTAACTCATGTTTAAAACCCATAATGCCTAGTTCAAAGCCCTTCCCTGAGGAAGTCTTCAACTCTTTCTCACACCTGCCCCCTAGAATTCCACAACGAATGTCACTTCATTTTCCAGTTTAAATTCCCCAGAAGGAGATACTCTCCTGGGTATTGATTAGATTTTTACCGTTTTGCTGCGAGCTATTGGATGACAGATCTATTGGCATTAGATTCCAGATCACCTGGTGATCAGGTCTGGGGTCTCACCCAGGAAAAGGAGTAGATGGCCTCCTCTTTCAGGGAGCATGGAGCTGTGTAAGAAAGTTAGAGCTCTGGCCTAACTAGGGGTCAAGAGACCTGGGTTCTCTTCTCAATTCCACTGTAATAGTAACTCCAGCAACAAACACTTGGTATCACTCTGTATTTCATAAACTAGTTTCATGGGCATTACCTTTCTTGACCTTCAAAGCAACTCTAGGTGATAGAGGTTAAGCCCCACTTTATAGATGAGGAGACTGGGGCTCCAAGATGCGAGTGACTTTCCTAAGGCTCCAAACTGGGAAGCGGCAGGAGGGAAATTGGAAGCTGCTTGGTTCCTCAGTCTCCTCCAGAAGTGCTCTTTCCACTACACCTCCCATGACCACTTTGAGTTTCAGTGTTCTCACCTCTCGTAGGAGGAAAACAACAACCCTTATTTGCTAGGATTTTGGGAAGGATGGAGGGTTCATACAGACCTGAAAGCATTTTGAGAAGTACAGAGAAGTCTGAAACACGGGAGGGAAGGACAAGCAGTAGTGTTATAAGAGGCCTTGAGAAAGCTTCCCAGTTTCTGGTCTCATTTCTTCAAGGATGGCTGAAAGTGAGATTTCCCAAAACCTCTTTGGATGGCTTCTCAGCAAGGTAAGCTTTATAGAAGATGATCTGGGCCCTAATGCCTATATACCAGTCACTGGCTAATTCACAGCAAAAGAGTATGTCCCATCACCCAGTCACCATGTTGGGGGAGATGTCCTACAGTGAGCATTCCCACCAACCTGCCTTTGGAGGTGGTGGGATCTGGCACAGGACACGCTTTGCCTTATGCTCTGGCCAAGGCTCAGATATTTTTGACATCAGGAGAGTCAGCCCTAAGGTGCTCTTCATAACAGGAAGGAGCAACAGCTCCTCCCCTTTGCCACCTGCCTTTCCTTTGGGTTGTCACCTTCTCCCCCCAAGGCTTAAGAGTTAAGTGGAAGAAGAGAGCCACATCAGGAGGAAGGGACGTCATCAGTATAGTCAGAACCAAGTGATGGTGACCTGGGAGGCAGACTTCAGCATAAGGGAGAGTGTGAAGCTCACCTCCTGCTTGCCAGCCCAGTCCCTGAGCACCTCTCCCAGTACTCAGTGCCTCCATCAGAATGCACCAGTGTGTCATGCTTGGTACTCTCATCATGGAGACCAAGGACCGGAACATCTCTAAGCTGGGAGTAATTTTAGGGACTACTCAGTTCAACTCCATTTTACAGATGAGGAGACGGATTCTCAGAGGGTTATAGTGGTGTGTCCCAAATCAGTGGAAGATCAGAATTAAGAATGAGGGCTCCAAAGGCAGGATTTCCCAAGCTGTATGCCCTGCTACACTTGAGGTCTGTGGCAGTGCCTCAGTCTATTTCTGAGGAGTGTAGAGGGAAGTCTAGGGGGTAGGGGAAGGAGTGGAGGCAATTGAACAACATCCTCCATCAAGGAGGCTTTTATTCTGTGTATTAGAGTCGTTTACGTCTTTGTTTCTGTGTAAGATTTCTTTTTATAAGAGGAAACCACTGCTTAAAAAAGAATGATTTTGGAAACGAATGCTCTTTACCTAGCTTCCTCTTAACCAACGTACCTGGAAAGAGCAGTGAAAATCAGTGCCATGTAAGATGTACATGGAACAGAGGCTGACAAACATCCCAATTCACCATATGCTTTTGCCAGCTCTCCAACTGTAACCTGCAACATTCACATTCAAGGTTTTATCACTCTGCCTTTCACTCATCTTCCACTCCTTCCTTCTTGTCTCTTCTGGTCTTTTCAACTCATTTCCAATACCTCCTCACCCACTTTTTCTGTTTTCCTTTTATTAATTTTCTCCTTAACATGATTGCATCATATCATCACCATCATCATAATAAATTGTGCCCATTTTCAAGATGAGATTACTGAGGCTACAAGAGCTGCTCCTTGGCCCCTCTGAACTTGTCCAGGGTGGTTCCTGGTTGGTGCATCCACATCCTGAAAATGGAGTGACCTGCTCTTCTTTCCAGCGCCTACCTTGGCCTCATGTATTGAGAGGAAAGGAATTCCTGGAGAAGATTCAGCTCAAATACACACTTATTGAGCACTTTTCCTGATGGTACAATGTCAGGCAGTTTGTTTGGTGTCATGAAATGAACACTAGCTTTGGAAATTCAATCTCTGCTCTACATCTTAGTAGCTGTATAATCTTGCCTAAGACACTTGACCTCTTGGAGGCTAAGTTTCAAGGATAATAATATCTATTTTACAGGCTTGTGAGGCAATTGTATGAAAAATGCCTTGGATGTAATAGGAGCTTAATACATGTTTATTATTATTATATTATTTTGCATTTGCTATCTCATTTAAAACATGACAATAATTCTGCAGCTAGATTTCATTTGCATACTTGTACAGACCGAGGTTCACAGGCTGAGAAACTGACCCACAGTAATAGAGCTACTAAGTCAAACCCAAGGAGTCCTTGTCTAGGGCCAGCACTGCTTCCACTGTCCTGCCCACTGGAGGTTCTAGGACAATCTTAGACTCCTTTCAACTATGGAAGGTATACACACAGGCTGTCACAGACTCTTGGAGCAGGGCACACACTTGTCAGGTTTCGAGTGGGCACCTGGGTTTTGAAAAGTCCTGCCGGCTACCCCCCTACCCCACCTACCCCAAATTCTGATCACCATTTCCGTTCAGAGAGTAATTTTTAAAGTGAAGGTCTGTTTTAGAGCCATTTGCTTAGAACCAGGTGCTTGCTAAAAATGCACACTTCTAACAAACTCAAGGGTTAGACTCTGCTGATACTGAAACCTTCATGAGGTCAGAGGGCAGGAAGGAAAGAATTGGGAGCCCTGACTCACAATGTGGGCTTGGGGAGGTCTCTTCAGGCAAGTCGGGGGCACACATAAATGAATCAGCTACACCAAGTCATCAGAGGGAGACCTCGCGGTGGTACCCTCATGAGTTTGACGATCAGAGAGGTATTCCTAACTCATGGGGCTTCTGGTTCTTTCTGAGAGCCCTGAGGACAGTAAAATCTTCAAAGACTAGAATACCTATGACCGGTACAGAAAAGTCCTCAGTCCTTCATGGCATTAAACACAAAGTACCTACAATGTGAACTAGCTTTCTAAGTAGAGACTGATTGGATGGCTTGGGTTAAGAGAGCAAATTTCAAATGTTTTCTGCCATCAATATGATTGTTAATGCATAATCAATTAAAAATATTTCTCTAAATATATTTAAAATGTATTTCTAAATATATTTCTATAAATATACAACATAAAATATATTTATAAATGTTATATATAAATAAAAATATTTTAAATATATATTTATAAATAAATAAATATACACCTGTACCATCTCAATTTGCTTTTAAAGTTACTCTCAAAATGAGGGGGGGTTGAGGTCCAGGGAAGATGTCATTCTTTATCTAATTTATGGCAGAATTCAGTTCAGAACACAGGTGTTCCTGATAATACCCAGTGCCACTTCTTTCAGCCCTTCCTTCCCTGGGACATTCAGAAAGATAGTCAGTCCCCAAAGCTGCTTCTTCTTCTCTCCCTCCAGTCTCTTCCTGCACTCTGATTCAGAGATCACAGAACATAAAAAACGATATTAGATGAGGGGGCAGATCCTCCTGGGTCGAGCCAGAGGCACAGAGCAGAGCCAGGAGCTTGGAGGGATGGGGTAGGCAGGCAGAACAGAGGATGTGGCTGGGCTTACCTGCAAGCTGGCAGAGAAGGAAGATTTGGATGAAACCTGCCGGGAAACCAAGCATATTTCTCTCTGGATGTCAGAAAATAAACCCACTTCCCTCTTGAGGTGCTCAAACTCTTCACCTGCTGGATATTTAAAGATAGGAGGGAAGGGTTTATGATCTTGACCAATAAGAATGAGTCAATTCAAGTCTCTATGCTCACGTCACTTTACATGTATTCAATAAGCGAAGGAAAAATGAATCAGATAATGAAGATGTAGAACTTTCATTTTACAAATGGGGAATCATAGTCTCAGAGAGGCTAGGAATTAATCAAGACCACATGAGCAAATTTTTTCTGGTATACCAGATGACCTTTCAGAAATTCAGAACAGGAAACATGGAAGGAAATAGATGATTATATGGGGAATGAAAGAGTGGCACTGGGGATAATGATAATATCTATTGAGGTTTACTAAGTACCGGGAGTATCCTGCATTCTTTTATTTACTCCTCAAAACAACCCTGTGAGTGAGATACTATCATATTTCCTATTTTACAGATGAGAAAATGAAGGCTTAGAGTATCTGACAGGAAAATTAAGACATTCTTTTAATCAAAGGAAACCATTATGAGAGTAAAAAGGCAAGCCACCTAGTGGGAGAAGATATTTGTAATACATTTATTCCACAAGAGCTTTGTATCTTTAATATGTGGTTGTCCAATTGTCTCAGCACCATTTGACTTGGTGTAGCTGATTCATTATTGCTTTTACACCTTTGTCAAAAATCAGTTGATCATACTTGTGTGGATATATCCTGGGGTTATTCTGGATTATTCTGTTGCACTGATTTATATAACGTAATTATTGATACAGCTTAAGCCTGCTATTTTATTGTTTGTTTGCTTCTTGTTTCTTCTGTTCTTTTCTTTTCTTTTGTTGTTGCTCTTCTGTTTTACTTTCCTAGCCAATCTGTAGGTTACTTGAATATTTTCTATAGTTTCATTTTGATTAGTCTGCAGTGTATCTTGAGTGTATCTTTTTGAACAGATTTTTAAATGGCTGCTCAAGGCATTACTATACATACATAACTTATGGGTTACTGATGTTCACATTTTACCAGTTCAGCTAAAGTGTAAAAACATTACCTGCACTAGATTCCTTTACCATCCCTTCTTAGTAACTTGTCTTAAATATATCTTCTCCACACACTGAGAATCGTATTAGGTAATTTTATAATTTTTGCTTCAATTGTCAAACATAAGTTAGAAAACTCAAGGGTTTTCTAGTCTATTATATTTACCCATATTTTGACTCATTACATTGTTCTTTCTATATTCCTGATGTTCCAAGTTTTCTTCTTTTATTATTTCTTTCTGCTTCAAGATACTCCTTTTAACCATTCTTTTAAGATAGGTCTGCTGGTGACGAATGTTGTTAGTTTTCCTTCACCTGAGGTTGTCTTGATTTTTTTTTAACTTTTTTTTATTGAATTATAGTCACTTTACAATGTTGTGTCAAATTCCAGTGTAGAGCACATTTTTTCAGTTGTATGTGAACATACTTGTCACATTTTTTTTTTGCTGTGAGCTACCACAAGATCCTGTATATATTTCCCTGTGCTATACAGTATAATCTTGTTTACCTATTCTACATATGCCCGTCAGTATCTACAAATTTTGAAATCCCAGTCTGTCCCTTCCCACCCCCACCCCCTTGGCAACCACAAGTTTGTATTCTATGTCTATGAGTCTGTTTCTGTTTTATATTTCTGTTTTTTTTTCTTTTTTGGATTCCACATATGAGCAATCTCATATGGTATTTTCCTTTCTCTTTCTGGCTTACTTCACTTAGAATGACATTCTCCAGGGACATCCATGTTGCTGCAAATGGTATTATGTTGTCAGTTTTTATGGCTGAATAGTATTCCATTGTATAAATATATCACAGCTTCTTTATCCAGTCATCTGTTGATGGACATTTAGGCTGTTTCCATGTCTTTGCTATTGTAAATACTGCTGCTACAAACATTGGGGTGCAGGTGTCTGTTTGAAGTAGGGTTCCTTTTGGATATATACCCAGGAGCAGGAAGAGGTTGTCTTGATTTCATTTTCATTTCCTTGTTTTATATCCTAGATTGATAATTCTTTTTTTTTAGCGCTTGAAAAATGTTATGCCACTCCTCTTGCCTTCATTGACTTCTGGTGAGAAATCAGCAGTCATTTAAATTGTTTTCCTCTATAGTCAATGTGTTGTTTCTCTCTGTTATGAAACATTTTTTTCTTTGTTGTTAGTTTTCAGCTGGTTGATTATAATGTGTCCTGGAATGTATTTCCTTGAGTTTCTCATGTTTGGGATTCATTCAGTTTCTTGAATCTGTAGGTTTGTGCTTTTGTCGAGTTTGGAGAAATTTCAATATTTCTTTGAATAGTTTTCTTTTTTTTTTAGCCCCTCATTCTTCTTTTTCCCCTCCTCATTCTGGGACCGTGATTACATGAATATTACTTTCTTTTCTGATTTCCACATAGAACTTTGAGTTTCTGTTAATTTTTCTCAGTCTATTTTCTCTCTGTTGTTCAGATTGGGCATTTTCTCTTGTCTATCTTCAAGTACACTGAGCCTTTCCTTTATAATCTCCATTTTGCTATTAGGCCCATCAAGTGAGATTTAAATTTCAGTTATTACATTATTCAGTTCTAAAGTTTCCCTTTGTTTCTTCTTTATATCTTCTATTATTTTGCTAAGACTTTCTAGTGGGTTTTTTTGTTCCTTTGTTTGTTTCCAGGGTGGTGATAATTACTTGTTGAAGCGTTTTTACAATGGCTGCTTTAAAATCCTTCTAAGATCATTCCAACATCTGTCATCTTGGTTTTGCTGCCTATTGATTGCCTTTTTCCATTCAAGTGATATTTTCCTGGTTTTTGGTATGATGAATGATTTTTGACATTCTGGTGGTGGAATGGATGACCTTATTACCACTGAGTGGTTGTGAAAATCCAAATTCTCCCTTGACCTTCCTTAATAACATTCCAAGCAAGAAGAGGGAGTAGTGTCTCATAATTTCAGGGTGAGAGTGGAAGTTCAGTCTTCCGCACCCAGATGGATTCCTCCTATTGCTAAGGGAGAGTGGAGGGCTAGACTTTCCACTTGGCCTTTGCTGGAGGTGGGGTTCCATATTTTTCCAATCGCATTTGGCTGGAATAAGATGATTATTGTCTAAGGCTTCTGTCTTGCTAGGCCATCTCTTTTCCAGTCTTTTGCCAAGAAAGAGCAGACTTTTCCTGGGATTGGCTTTTCTGGGTTACAGACTTGTTTAACGTACAGACCAGGATATATAGATGACAAAAAGGAAACCTAGAGAACTAATTTCTATGTCATTCCTTGGATCTTGAGGTCCCTAGCCAGTGTTTCTTCTCTCCACTTTAAAATTTTCTTGTGTTTGTGTTTTCTGTACAATGTTCAGGGTCTTTATCTGTACTTAATGGGAAAAACAGAGAGAAATGTGATGCTTCATCTTCTTCAGAAGGAGAAGTCTGATCATGTGTTTTTATATCCTTTCTCTCTTCTGACATCGTTGAAATAATGGTGGAATCTTAAAAAAAGGACTCCTTGTTAATTGGCAAAATGAATCCAACATGGATATTTCTCTTATCTAACTTGAAAAACACAGTAATGATAGATGAAACATTTTCAAATGTATTAAATTATATAGCCTTGCTCAAAACTAAGATAATTGCTGAAAATAAGAAATGATGTAGAAATCCATTACACATGAGGAGATAGGAACATGTAAAAACGACTTTGATACCAAAATCATGCAAAGACAGGAAAATAAAATTACAGACCAGTATCACTTCTGAACAGAGTTGCAAAGATCCTAAATGAAACATTAACACATCAAATCCATCAGTATATTAAAAATACATCATGACCAAATATCAGTTGTCCTAGGAATGTGAGAATAGGCCAATGTTATAAAAACTTATCAGTGAAATCCATTACATTGACTAAAGACAAAATAACATGATTATCTCAGAAGATGTAATAAAAATTTGATAAAATTCAGTACTCATAATTGCAAAAATGTGTAGGAAACTAAAGCAAACATCATACTTATATGTTAGACCTTTAGGAGCAATACTATTAAAGTCAAGACTAAGGCAAGAATTTCTCCAGTCACTGCTACTGTTCATTAATTAACTGGTGTCTTTCCCAAAGCAATAAGAAAATAAAAATAAATAAGATGTATGTGGATTAGAAAAGGAGAGACAAATTATCATTATTTTCAGATCACATCACTGCTAACATAGAACATCCAAAAAAATCTGCAGGCAAATTATGGAAACTAATAAGAGAGTGAACAGGACTCCAGCCAACAACTGCAATTTTATTCAAGATACTGTTCTAACTTGGCTCACAGTTTGGCATTTGTTTACTTTTCTTGACCAAGTTCTATTAAGAGCCAGAGCAATATTTTCCCCAAGGTTACACAGCATTTTATTTGCAGAGCCAGGATAGGAATCCGGATATTGTGACTTCAAATCCAGCGATTTTTCCATTATGGTGTATTACTCATTTGTTAATCATCTTAGTACAAATGTGGCAATGGTAGAAATAGCAGTTTTGAAATGTTGTGATCTTGATTCTTGATATTCTTGGTAAACAGAATGAGGTTGTAGAGAAGGCATTTTGTAGAAACTCATCAAACAGTAGTTTTGAAGCATTCAAACAATTTCACTTTTGTGCTTTATGTCAAGGCTTTCCTTGTCTTAGAAATGACTATGCCAAGGTTTCTGGAAAGATATGAAGAGAAAATATTTTTGAGACAGGAAGGGGCCTGGATAGGGCGGAATGAGATCAGTAAAAAAAATCCTAGGGATGCCCCATTAATCTGGAGAGAAGAACTGAAAAAGAAAGTTTATGCTAAAACAGAAAATAATTGCCTTTGAAACATGGAACTTAGCATCAGAAACTTACTATTTGTTAATCATCTCTTCATATGTTTGTGGGACATTTTTACCCATGGGTAAAATCTCTCTTGGTTCTCTCCTACCCAAGTCTACTCTTTATCCTTTGCTCAAAGTTGCAAATATCTCTCATCTATGAATATTGAAAAGTCTCCGGATTCAGTCCTTAGACTTACTCATTTCTTTATCTATTCTGATTCGCTAGCTGATCTCATTCAATCTCTTTATTTGAATACCCAATTTTATTTCCAGCTCTGACTTTTTCCTGAATTCCAGTTTTGTATATTCAGTCACCTACTTAGCATCTCCATTTGAATGTCTAACAGACATCTAAAACTTCATATGTGCCAAATCAAATTCTTGTTTCCCTACCCTCTTTTTCTTCCTCCACCTGTCTTCACCTCAGTAAACTGTTGCACAGTCCCTAAGTTTTTCATGCTAGAAAATTAAAATTATTCTTGGCTCTACTTTCTCATATCCTGTGTCCATTTACCAGCAAATTCTATTAGCTCTACCTTAGAAAATGCCTAGAACCCAATCACTTCTTATCACCTTTACCAACCTTTGCTACCACTGTCTCTTGCCTGCACTATTACAATGGCTATCTAACTAATCTCCTTACTTCAACCTTGGCTTTCTGTAATCTATTCTTGATGGGCCAGTAGAGTAGCATTTATAATATGTAAATCAGATCTCATTATTACTCTGTTTGCCAGTTGTTTTCTGTATTACTTAGAATAATATGCAAAATCCTTTCCAGGGCTTCCAAGACCCTACATGATGGCTCTTGGCCACCATTATGATGTCATCTTCTAGCTCTTTTACCCAGCTTTTTCCAAATCTGTTACACTAACCACCTCACTGTTACTGAATACTCCAGAGACATTCCCACCTCAAGGTATTTGCACTAGAGGAAAGCTCTTCCCCTAGATATCCACATGGCTACCTCTTCCTTAAGATTTACTCAACTTTGCCTATTAAAGACAGCTTCCTTGTCCCCTTGATAATACAACACTCCCTGATCTTTACTCTCTATTCCTTTATTCTGCTTTATTATTTTTTTTCCTGTAAAAAAGTTAATAAACAGAAACCTTAATTAAATAGAGTTGGGAGACCAACAGGGAGAGTTCTCATGCCCTGAGATGATAGCAGAGCCCAACAGGAAGAAGAAAGACTCTTCTTTCCTGGCAAGAATCAGCCAGTGAAAAGCCATGAGCTTTGTTAACTATAGCCCTCCCAACTTTCTTTTCCTCTCTATAAAAGTGTTTTCCTTCCTTTGCTGTGTGGGGACTTTGACACGGCTTATCATGGTTGCAGAACTCAAATTGCAATTTTTTGCTGATTCCAGATAAACTCATCTTTGATAGAGAAGTAGGTGACAGCGTATTTATTTCAGGTCAACATTCCGTAGGACTTATCATGGTAAAATCTAAGAATTCTAAGAAGAGGGACTTTGCTCAGTACTCTATTCTCAGCAACTAGAACAACTGGTACATAGTAGTTCCTCAATACATGTTGAATGAATGCATGAATGAATGAATTGAGTGCATGAATGAATGAGCAATGAGAGTTGAGTAATTATTAGTGATACTCAGTATTTTTTTCTATTCAGAGGAAAATTGGGAGCAGAAAAGGGATGGGATTTCTCAGGATCTCAGGACTCAATCTTCTGTGAGATTGGTACAGTGGCAGAGAAGAATATGAAGGAAGATTCAGAAACTCTGGGGAGGTAAAAGAAAGTTTATAAAGAATAGAATGCTATTATATTTCGAAAAGGAAATGTGTGTCATCTCAAAGTGAGAAATGGTTATTGTTTTAAATGATGGCAGTATTGGTAGAACTCACCTAATTTTAAAAACAGCTTTCTGATAGTTATTTCATCTTCAAAACATTTATAATTCAAGTATGTTATGCAAAAGTGGCCATAGAGCAAGCACAGCAGTCACATTTCTTAGGGTGTGACTTTGCGTTCAATTATCATTAACATTTTTTGTATGTAAAATAACTAAGCATGACATTAAAATATGAAATAGAGAACTTTAAATTTCAAGCTGAAAAAATACAAGAACATTTTGTTACCTTTCTCACTAACACATTTCAATCACAATTTGACCAAATTTTTGGACGTTTTCAATAGAATGCTTCTCCTAACTCACTCTGAAATTTTTATGTTAGTGTTAAAATGTCCCTGGGAATGTGCACAGCTTTAATAAAGTAGTACTTTGAGATGTCACAGAAATCGGCTGCAGATGCGATGAGAGTGTTACGTTCTCGTTGGTCAGTGGCTTCCCGGCAACACCTCCACAGAGTCTACCCTCCTGTTAGCAGAAATCCTCAAGCCCAGTGCCTGAAGCCAGAAGCACACCCACTTCCTCTATGGGTCCTCACTTCCCTCTTGCCCACGTGCAAATTTGGACTCTACAGATTGTCATGCCCTCTTCAGATCAGCTGGCTATGAGTATCTGGCTGTGCTTTCCTGAAACTGACCCCGATTTCTACACGTCACTTCCACGTGGGCAGAGGTGTGAGAATTGTGATTAGATCTCATGTGTCTCATGTACACTCCAGTCTCCATGCTTCATAAATCACATTCTCTCTCTCTGGGTCCCACCGATCATGTGACATGTCCTTTGGGGAATGAAGCTCTATGAAGCAAGGTTACCCCTTTCTTGTGCCCAGGACCATGCCTGATATGACTAGACCCCCATATGCTGACCCCAAACACCCAGTGATCTACCTTAAGTACTATGGTGAAGGGTCCTGGTTCCCCTCATTTGTCATTAACATGACTTTTATCATTCACTGTATTATGCATTGAAAATACAGTTGAAAGACATTTGTCTGCATTCAAATAAACCATGCTCTGCTGAGGGAAATCTGTACATAAGGCAACTATTACAATGCAGAGGGCAAGGGCTGTGATGGATAAAGTCTAAGTGGTGGTTGGAGCACAGAGTTGTTCTGGTAAAAACTGCCTTCTCTTACCAATCTCATGGGTTATTTGGGGAGCAAAACTGTAGAATGGATGTGAAAGTATTTTGTAACTCTAAAGCGGAATACTGTCGTGACTGCAAGGCAGTGGGTGGGGTGGCAGTGGGTGGGGATGATCCTGTTAATACTTCCTGTGAGGGTCTCCTGGGTGAGGGAATTTATTCAGATGTCTAGAGCTCAGAGCTGATTCTAGTTCAGTTTTCGTAACTTCTGAAATGTGAAAATCAAGATAGAAGAAAGGAGAGCAGAGGAGCCTTGGGTAACCCAAGTCTTGTGCCTGCAGCATTGGAACCTCTTTCAATCCTGAAAGTCTGGAAAGTAGAATCCTTTCAGGCAGGTCTGATCCCAGCATCTCTCTTTGCAGGTCTTCTACTCCAGCATCTCAGAACATGGTTCTTCTCTGTGTCTAATTTCCATTTCTCCTGCTTTAATGTGTGGTGATTTCCAGATTTGGTTGGAAGAGAAAACAACTACAAGCTTTTGCTGATACCTCTTCATTAACCTCTCCAAGAAGATGGTATATAGTAGATGAGGTGATGTAGGAAATGTCCATTTACCCACAGATTGTCCATATTCCTTGTTACTCACAGCATAGCCCCTCACATCACTCTTCTCCTCAGTATAACTCCTGCCTCTCCCTCTCTCACTCTGATAGTATTGCCCAGTGTGTGTGTGTGAGCACACAGATGCTCTAGCCACACTGCCTAGACTTGAGTCTTTCTCTATCCCTTCCTCCCTGTTTAGCCTTGGGCAAGATGACTTTAATGCTCTATGCCTCGTTTACTCATCTGGGAAGTGAGGATAACCATAGTTTTTGGTCTACAAGATTATAAGTATTTAACAAGATAAGAGATATTAAAGTAGCATCGAGACTACCTCCATGTAAGTTGTCAGTAAACATTAACCATTAGTTTTATTAATTCATTTAAAACAGCTTCTAAATACTTACAAAGAGCCAGGCATTGGGTCTTAGGTATAATCAGATAAAGTTCCAGTCCCAGTTTTCAGCAGAGGAATGCTAGTGAGCCACAAGCCTGGTCTGTCTTTCCACTTACCCTTTGCTCTTTCTGTGATGCTCTAGCTCCCTCCCTGTTGCAGAAAAGCTACCTGACCCCTTCAGACAGGTCACAGCACTCTTAACTGATACCTCATCTCAGATTCCCTGACTCTTTGCTGCTTTTTGCTGACACGGTTATGTGTGCCACATGCCAGGCTTGGGTAAGAGAGATGGGGATGTAGGAAGGGGGGCCGGGGGTGGTGCTGAGGGGTGTGTGGGAGGTGACAAACACAGAGATATCTGCCAAACGTAGTCTGTTTTCACAGGGGGCCTACCGCCAACTGTAAATTTCAATGTTTATATTCATATACAGTCATCCCTTGGAATCCGTGAGGAACTGGGTCTAGACAAAGTTACTTCTTGCTTTCCAATTGGATGCCTTTATTAGCTGACTATAATGACTCTGACTAGGACTTACAGCACTATGGTGAACAGGAGTGGTGAGAGTGGGCACCCCTGTCTTGTTTTTAATCTTAGCAGAAAAGCTTTCAATCTTTCACTATTGAATATAATGTTAACATTTTGTTGTACATGGCCTTTATTGTGTTGAAGTGCATTCTTTCTTTGCCTCATTTGTTGAGATTTTTTATCACTAAGAGATACTGAATTTTTTCAAATGCTTTTTCTGCGTCTATTAAGGTGATCATATGATTTTTATCTTTCATTCTATTAATATGCTGTATCATATTTATTTATTTGTATTTGTTGAAATGTTCTTGCATTCCTGGGATAATTTCTGCTTGATCATGGTGTATAATTCTTTAAATGTGTTGTTAAAGTTGGTGTGCTAGTATTTGGTTGAGAATCTATGTGTCTGTATTCATCAGAGATATTGGCCTGTAGTTTTCTTTCCTTGTAGTTCCTTATGGCTTTGGCATCAGGGTAATGCTAGCCTAATAAATGATTTTAGGAATATTCCTTCCTCTTCAATTTTTTTGGAAGAGTTTGAGAAGGATTGGTGTTAATTCTTTTTTTAAATGTTTGGTAGTATTCACCAGTGAAACCATCTGGTCCCGGCCAGCTTTTTCTTTGTTGAGAGGTTTTTGATTGCTGATCCAATCTCCTTTTTTGTTACTGGTCTGTTCAAATTTTCTGTCTCTTCATGATTCAGTCTTGACAGTTTGCATGTTTCTGGGAATTTATCCATTTCTTCTGGGTTATCCAGTTTGTTGGCATATAATTGTTCATACTAGTTTCTTATGATGTTTTGTATTTCTGTGATGTCAGTTGTAATACATCCTATTTCATTTCTGTTTTTATTTATTTGAGTCTTCTCTCTTTTTGCCTTAGTCTAAATAAAGGTTTGTCAATTTTACCTTAAAGGGAGATGGCATATTTACTGAAACATGCAAGAAACTTACCTCCTGAGAATATAACAGCATGGTGAGTCTTGTAAACTGTTCTACACAAATAATGGGAGCAGTGGAGGGTGATTAGAGAATAGTGAGATAAGTGAATGAAATTTAATGCTTTCCAGAACATTCATAGAAAAGTAGAAAACCACTGTTTTTTTTTCTTTTTCAGAAGTTTTAAAGTTTTATTGACTTCGTAATATACAATAGTTTCCTTAAAAATGAGCAAAGTGATATCACAATCTTAATTTCTCAATTTAAAGAAGTAAGCATATTAGAATTTCTAAGGAGCCCAGTCCTTCTCAAATTTTCAATGTATTTCCAACACAACCTGGTTCAACACACACATGTACATACACACACACATTCACTTCAATACCACCCCAACCAATAGGCTATAATAAGAAACAGTGACATTCCTAACAATTCACTGGTTCTTCTTGCTTATGGATACTCACATAAATTGGTCAAAGAGAGTCACACTCAGGAGACGTAGAAAATATGAAAGGTGTGAACGAGTGCCTTGCATCTAGCTGTGCATGGACTTTATTCACAATGCCTAGATATTGACCAGGAAGATTTCTTCAGGAGTCTTATTATTTTGTCAGTTTCTGTCCAGAATGTTTGTATGTATGGGTTCTGTGCTGCTGCACTTGGACCTCAGAGATTCTACTTACAGCTACACATGCTTTTCCTCAAAGAATATCAACTAACCATCAAAGACACAGAGATAATTTTGAACATACAGACTCCTGTGTTATGGATAAAGAATTCTAACCATGCCATAATTGCTCAAAAAGCTTATAATTCATTTCCAAAGTGATAAAACATTTAATCATGCAGATAAAGGACAGCATGGGCCATAAAATTAATCTTGGCAATGAATAAAAACAGCATCATCTAGGAGAGTACCATCTGCCCAAAATACAGAGATACATTTAGAACAGGCAAAGCACTGTTAAAACCCTTTTGTCATGAACCTCCATCCCTGAGGATGATCATGCCTGTGATTCTGGAAGATCTAAAAGGGGAGAAAGCGTTGGTACTTCTATCTATAGTTCCTCAATCACCAGAAATTATTTGTAAAGGTTAGCCAACTATGAAGTTAGAAAGAAGTCACTAAGAACTCCCTCACTTCTGACATTAATTTTTACTTTAGGGAGTTCCCAAAATCACACTCAGTTTTCATAACTCACTAAAATTCACCTCTGTTCATAACTGAGTGGACATAAGGGACTCTCCAAGTGGTTCTGGTACTCAGACCAGGGCAGTGAGCATGAGCCTCACCCTTGCAAGTCCCTGTGAACGAGAACAGAGCTGGAACCACAGGATTAGTGCACACTGCAGGGCTTGGGTTTGAATCTTGTCTCTGCCACTTGGCCACTGTGTGAGGTTCTTGCTGTGCTAATGTCTCTGGGTCTGTCTCCCCACTTGTTAAAAAAAGATCACTGACAATTGCTTTACTTATGGTTTATTATAGGGAAAGGATACAGATTAAGATCAGCCAAGGGAAGGGATGCTTGTGGCACAGTCCAGGAGGGCTTGAAAACATGTCCTCTGCCCATGGAGTCATGGGCAGCATCAACTCTTCCTGGCAATGATGTGTGACAATACACATGAAGTATTGTCAGTCAGAGAAGCTTACTCCAGTCTTGCTGTCCAGAGTCAGTACTGGATTTCATCATTTAGGCTCCAATATGGCTGATCTCAATTTTCACCCTTTCAGGAGGTGGAGCTGATATATATGACCCAAAACCCCCACCCTGAATCACATTTTGGATGTGGCTCACAACCTTTACCCTAAATCACATTGTTACTATCTGGCAAGTGCAAGCCCCTCTGGCAAACAAAGACACTCCTAACAGGCTGGACATTCCAAGAGTTTAGAGATTACCTCTCAGACTTGGTGGAAAACCATCCTTGGCTGGGTTTGTTTGTCAGAAAAGCTGTGCAGACCAGACAATGGTGAGGGTGGAGGGAAGGCTGCCTTGAGACTCACTCTCTTGTGAAGGAGCCAACTGCCTATATTAATATCAACTTTCTCTTCTTATTAGAAAAACTCCCTCATGAATAATGTGATAGGGGACAGATGAAGCCACAGAACAAGAGTAAATTATTCAGGGACCATATGTGAGAAGAGAAAGGATGAAGGACACAATTTTTGGAAATACCAATAATAAAAATGAACACAGGAAATAGAGTCAGAGAGGTAGAAATAAAACAGGAGTGCTGTCATGGAGGAAAGAGAACATAAAATTCTAGGGAAGGAGTGGTTAATAGGTTGAATGTTGAGGGAAGACCCAAGAAGATGAAGGCTAAAAATGACCACTGAGTTTGACATCAGGAGATCACAGTTTCAGTGGCTTGGGGAAGGCAGAAGCCTGTCTGCTTTGGATTCAGGACTGGATGAGAGATAAGGAAACAGGGATTGTGGACTCTTCTTTCAGAGAACTAGATTTCTAAGGGAAGGAAAGAGGGAGAATGCAAAGTCAAGAAGAGTTTTGTTTATGATAAGAAAGTTATCATTACAACACTGTGATATAGATACTACTATTATGCCCACTTGTGAAGTAGGAAACTGAGGATCAGAGAAGTGAAATCCATTGTCCAAGGTCTTATGCATGCTCCACAGAGCAGCACCCAGGGCATCTACTATCTTCCTCCTCCTCTGCTTTGGCTGGCTGATGATGCCCAGTATCGTGATCATCGCTCCTTAATGGTATCACTTTACCAAAGGTACTACTACCGCTGCCAGTAGCAATCAATATCTATGTCAAAGTCTTATGCCGCTAGGGCATTAAGATTGAGTCCAGGGTATTGTTTCTTGAAGCTTTAGTGTTGTTTTTCACAGCTGCTAAATATCTGGGAACGATGAACATATTTTGTAAGAAAAAAATGAGAGAGGGCTGAACATTGTTATGGCTGTCATGACAGACAGATGCTATCCTTTTTCCTGAGGCAGGAGGAAGCAAGGTTAAGGTGGCATAGATTCATTTCCTGCAGGATAAGCAGTTGACTGATTTTTATGAGAGGCTCAATCATATCTGTGGGATAGGCAGGATAATCAACTTAGAGGGGCACATGAGATGTGATGGAATGCTCAAGGTGAATGTGAAGCTTTGCAGTAATCCCTGAGGAGAGGAGACAAGTAAAAGAATGATTGGCAGCACTGAGGAAAGTACAGCTGAGGCTGGACACAAGATGTCTGGCAGGGTGACGGTGAATAACACTCAAACCTGTGGTCTCCATCACTGCCTCCACATCCTGCCCACACATTTCCTACTTAATTTTCTACAGTGTAGTTTAGCTCCTACTGAATAGTGAGACTTACCCTCTCAAAGGTCTCCCACATCTCCTCAGCAGCCTGGAGTGATATAAACTCACTTGGATTGAATCCCAACTTCATTCCTTATTAGTGACGTAAATGTGAGTATGTTGGCTTTTCTGAGGCTCAGTATCTTTATCGGTAAAGTAAGCACAACAACACCTACCTTCCAGAGTCCCATTATGGAATAGATAAGATAATATATGAGCTCCTTGACCAAAGTCGGATTCATGAGCTTATTAAATGGTAGTTCTTTTCCTCCAACTTTGCCATATCCTCTCTTTTCCTCAATCTTCCTTATCTTCTACCTTTTTGGAATAACTGACAATATTCTTCTGCAATTTGATTGTTTAGCATTCAGAACACATTTTCCTGTAGAATGCTATTAACCATGTTAGACTATATCATTCGATCTTCTGTTCTCAAAAAGACATCAGATGTGCTAAACAGATCATGCGCGTACTCGACCCTAAAGTATTGTCCCATTTTAAATTCAGGAACATGCAATAAGCTAGAACTTGTGAACAAACTGATTCTGAATAGCTTTCAGGTTTGTCAAGTTTCAGGGAATGTATTCAAAGAATACTCTCATAGAACCAATTACCAGAAAGTCATAATTTACCATCCATAAATAGTAGAAAAGCTATCTTTCAGGAGATACTTCCAAGAGATTATAACATCTGGCCACATCTACAAGCTGATTATTTTCCAAATGTCATCCAGGCTTTTGCTATGTTCCAAGTGTGTTCATCAGTCAGGATAAGACATAAAACTATATTTATTCTTCCAGTTACAGTAAAAGTGACCAGAATAAAGACAAGTTGAATAGATAATCATCTACTTATGTAAATATACAAATAGTGATCAGAATGCTAGAATAGATCATCCAGTCAGAGCAGAAGGAAAGTAGAGTGAGCCCAAAGAGGAAGAATGGCCAAGTCATTTAGGGGAAGGGCATCTTCTAAGCAAGAGCATCAAGGTCCAGGGAGGGTGGGTAGAGCTCAGTTGTAGAGTGCCTACTTAGCATGCATGAGGTCCTGGGTTCAAGCCTCAGTACCTCCATTTAAAATTTTTTTAGAAAAATATTAAGGTCCAGATGGTACTCTCACCACATGAAGTAAGAAGATCAACGGGGGTAAACCCACTCTTGCCCCTGTGAGTTTCTCCTTTACTCTCACACTACTTCCACATTCATAGCTGTTCTGGCATCAGATATATGGGGTTTTCCCCACACCGAGCAATTCTCTGTGACACCAGCTGGGTATTCTATAATTCAACTCAATTTTGACACTAACCAAAGTTAATCCAGACCCCATAGGTTAAAGGCTCAGCTCCATGAGACTGCCCTCTACTTCAGACTCCAATTTCAAGTAGTAGGTCCCCAAGTTGCCCACAACTTCTACAAATAAATATCAGTTTATTGTATAATAAAGAGTATGATAAAGGGCACAAATGAACAGCCAGAAGAAGAGATTCATAGGGGAAGATGTAACGGTCCTGTGAGCAGGAGCTTCTGTACCTGTGGAGTTGGAGTATGTCACCCTCCCATATGTGGATGTGTTCACCAACCTGGAAGTTCCCTGAACCCCATAATATTGGGATTTTTACAGAAAATTTATCACATGGGCTTTATCACCTCCATTTCCCACCCTTTCCCTTTCTCTAAAGAATGAAGGATGGGGCAGAAAATTCCAAGCTTCTAATCATGGCTTAGTCTTTCTGGTGACCATCCAAGATTCCACCAAGAGTCACCTCATTGGAACCAAAGACAGTCCTATCATCCAGGAAATTCCAAGGGATTTAGGAGCTCTGTGTCAGGAACTGGAATCAAAGACTAAATGTTAGAACAAAAGATACTTCTAGCACTCCTATTTACAAGGATTTTAGAAGCTTGTGTCAGGAACCACTTTTAGATTTATATCTATGTCATCTATATCACTATTTGGCATCTATCTATAGTGATATCTATCATATATATGTTTTATATATGTATAATTTATTTGCTTCTTTGTTTATCTATTTCACATGGTGTCTGCCTCAGTTCAGGCTGTTTATACTTCATCTGTTAAGGCACCACCACAGTCTGGGTCTGGG